TTTTTTTTAATCATTAGTAATTTGCTAGAAAAATCAGCATTACTTCAGTAACACATTCAAAAATAAAAAACCAAAACAAAGGATATAATCGTTTCGATAGAATATATAAAAAAACATCTAGATACCTATCTTTGTTCCTAATTGTCCGATTTTAAAGATTTTTTTTTTTTTTTAAGAAATTCCGTAAACTTTTAAATAACCACAAAAAGTGTATAATTAAAAGGGCATCGAGAAGAAGAGTTTAGCGAAGTTTCATTGAAATCGATACATTCGTTTAGGCGCTACAGTCTATAGCAAGGCAGGTTTTTCGGTCGCCATCTTAAAAGGAAAAGGCGGATAGAATTGTTGATGAAGGAGGACCTTACTTGTGTGATCTCTGGACCCACCAAATGAGCCAAATTGAAATATATCAAAATATTGTTTCTGACTTGAAGAGGATATAGAACGCCTAATAGTTTTTTTTTTTATATTTATGTATTTTTCTCGCGAGAATGATAGAACAACTATTATGGACACAAAAATTAATTTTATTAAGAAAAAATGAGTATGCGATAAAAGAAAATATTTTATCCTCCTCCACAAGAGATACCCTTCGATCTCGATCGAGTAGCTTCATTTTCAAAAAACATCGTAATAGTTGCTCCCACATAACTTTTCATGTTGCTTTACTTGTGTAATTCTTGAAGCTTCTGAAGGAGGCAGTGGATCTATGTTCAAGTTTCACCATCATAAATTTGACAACCGGTCTTAGTGTGATAATTCCCCCTTCACCCTCGAAAAAAAAAACTAAGTAACGTATTCCCCCTCTCCTTCTTTTTCTGATTTTTTTTTTTGTACTTGATACCTTATTATTCAAAATCCTTCGGAGAGCCAAAAAAGAGGTCTATTCTACTCTTAGATTAGTGAAACTGACTTCAAACTCTTCGGAATAAAAAATACCCAATCGGATTCTATTATGTGCTCCAGATATGTATATCATACTAGATCACGCAATGCCTTTATGATTTTATATTCTTTCAAAATAATAATTCATCAACAAAAAACTAATAATATATAATAAAATTGAGGTTTGGCAGTCATGAAGGTGACAACTACCGAATCGGTTGCCGCAATTGAACGGTCTTTCATACATAATTAATGATAACCTTGATTTAGCTTTCCTGAACTGAACTTCTTTGTTCAAGTAGAACAGATCTGACCCTCGAGGATTCGAATCAGGTGTCTGGGTCTCGAGCTATTTTATTTTTAAAACTACACTGTTCATAGGTATTTAATATCACCAATAGTATTTTTTTTTTATAATGTATTCACCAATGTAGATAACTACGATAATGTTCAGAACGTGATATTCCGAAGCATTATTGGATCAGCTAATCAAGAAAGCAATAGAGTAAATTCTATAAGTAAAGGAATAATCAAGTTGGCCTTGACGAAAGATGTTATAACTAATAATATGGCTAAGACCGACTTATCTTTAGACAATTTAGAAGAAATTTGAACATGTATGTACAAATTAGAAAATTTAGTTTTTCATTTAATTTTTTGTGTAAATTTATATATATATATATTTCAGTTGGCATTACAGACTATATATATCTTTTGCCGCCTTGACAAGCATGCTCTATCTCTAAAAAATTGGTACATTTAGATGTTTTATTAACATAAACATAGTAAAGACCTAATAAAATTAACTTGACAATACATTAAAGGCATTGTCAAGAATGATCGAGATAAGCCTCCATCTTGGAATGAAAAAGTTGTAGAGTAAAGGCAATCTATCCTATGTCACCAATTATTTAAATAAAACATCATTAACAATCATAAATATATTCATTAAAAATAACACAATCGAATTAGACTAATTTTCCTGATAACCCATCAGAGAAATCATTATAGTAGGAATAATTTAATAAACTAAAGCAATGTAAATAGGTAAGTGAACAATGATTAAAATCAGTGTATAAAAGTCAATTCACTGTAATGTTGTTGAAACTGATCCGATTTAGACGATTTTTTTTTTTATAGCCTTGTCGGAAATTATTTTTTAAAAAATGTTACCATTACATACCATAGAAATATTAGTCATTTTTCTAAATGAATCTCGAATGAAAAAATGCAAAACTAGATTGATTCTGCCAATTCCTCAATTTTTTTCCCTCCCAGTTGGCAGTACAGACTATGTAGATCTTTTGCCGCCTTAACAAGCCTGCTCTATCTCTACCTGTCTTGGGCTATTTCTTTGCAGTTATCTGCATTATTTCATCTATGTTGATTTTATCTATCCATCTACTTTTTGGCCTTCTACGTGGTATTTTGCCTTCTATTGAGGCATTCATTGTTACGTAGAAGCTTCCAGATGGATTCCTACGAGCTACATTCTCCACCCATCTTAACCTCCGTGCCTTCATATCGTGGGATATTGATTGACCTGTTTTTGTAAGTAGTTCTTTATTGGTCTTTCTTCTCCATGGGCTAGTACTCCGATCCCAGATCGGTCCGGTTATCATGCGGAGGATTTTTCTCTCAAATCTTTCAATTTTTTTTCTAGGGTGCTGGTTTGTATCCATGTCTCACAGCCATATATTAGTACTGGGTTAATCATTGTATTGAACAACTTTTGAGATTTTTCTGGATTTCAATATCTTTGAAAGGGAGAAGAAATCTCCGCGCTAGTTATATGCTGGTCTATTTCTGTCGTTTGGGTATTCATTGAGGTTATTGTAGAGCCGAAGTATTTGAATTTTTCTTCTCTCGGGAATGATTTTCCTTTTATCCAGATTCTGTTTTTGGGGTGGAATTTTCGGCTTATTATCGTTATTCTTATTCCTCATTCGTTGCTGGGCTCTATAGACCTTGGAGAACTATGGACTCTGCTAAGGTCTTCTTCCACATATCCCTGTCAGCAGCGAAGTGCTATTGTTATTCTTATTCTTATTGTAAATTTATATACGTATAACAATACAGTATATTATTTGCTGATATTGTACAGCACCTTTACAGTTTCAACGACCTCAAATCTTGTCTATTTAATGCAGATTGACACATAATTTTTTCCCTTATGATCATGAAACGAAACGCCAATCCAAACACTAGAAGTGTCAAATTTAACAGAGAGTCAAAAAAGCTGGATGTGCAAATATAAATTCAAAACAATGACGATTCATTTTTCCAATATTCATGGGATTTCCACCTTCATTCGTTTCCGGAAGATCAAAATATTAATCAATATTCCTACGTTCATGTTCTTCCTGAAAGAGAAAACGGCACTCCTCCTGAAGGAGCTGACAGAAGACTTCCAGCACTGACCGTTGCGTGGATCTACACACCATTTTAAAATAATGAGGTTATATAGGCCAAACAGCCCAATAATTTTGTAGGCCACCTTTTTTCTCGAATTATTGATCAAATGATCTCATGATTTTTAGTACCTAATTACATAGACAAAGTTTACCAATCACCAGACTGAAAAAGTCCCAATATTTAAGAGTTTTCTTAAATAAAATATTTGTAGGCCACGATGAGATGAAGCTATTCACGAAATTACAGGCGGATGTTAATAATTAGACAGTCTGGTACCACGGACTATAACATACAGGTTACATTTAGTAGCTGAAGCAAATACGTGATAATTTAAAAAGAGAATTCGTTGTGATTGTTTTATTTAAGTAATTGGCACTCGATGACTCATAGATAGTGTTGCCCAAATGCGAGTACGAGACAAGTCTTGGTCTTGCAAACTGAGTCTTGGTCATGGTATTAGTCTTGCGCGAAAGTCTCGCAACAGTCTTGAAGTTACTTATTAGCTTATTACTATGCAGATATTATTGTAATTTTTTCGATAGGGGAAACATAACAAAGCTCAAATGAAAACTTAGATGAGTTAAATGCAAAAGTATATTGGTTATACCAATTATTAACATATAGTAACGAAGATTTTCAGGTACTAGAAACTATTTTGAATTAATTTTTATCATTATTATTATTTATTGCTTAAAATAACCAGTCCTGGTCATGGTCTTGCAACAGTTAGGTGGCCTTGGTCTTGGTCTTGCAAAGTGCATGACCAAGATCGATTTTGGGCAATACTACTCATAGAGACTAAAATTGAATCTAAAATAATCATCCTTATTTATAACACAATAAAAAATTTAAAAAAAAATTAATACACAATTTATATCATATATTACCATAACTAAAATAGCAGCATTGGTTCGTTTTAAAGTATGTTATTTATTATTTTCTGTAATTCCATTTTATTTCTAAAAATTGTAAAAAAACAAAAAAACAAAGCAATATATTCCAAACTCAAATAAAATTGCTCATAAAGGCAAAAAATCATATTTATTTTAATGCTAAACAGATTATATACATATAAATGACAAATAATTTACTGTTGAACTAAAAGCGTATGCTTCATACTTTTTCTCATTTCGTTTCAGTGATTTATCTTTGAAGGTGATTTGTTAATTAGCTTGGATCGTGCCTTTTTAAAGTTATGCGTAATTTCAAATATTTGAGATGTCACTGACATTTTTTTTTTTTTTTTTGGCTAACTGAAGCGCAGTCCAAAATGAACGGATGGACAATAGAAATATCGTTGCGCAAAGATTCAGTAAACGCTTAGAAATTACATCAATTTAACCAGGATTTAGATCTCAAAATCTGACAAATTTTAATATGTAGTTGTTTAATATGTAGTTACAATGAAGTGTGCGAAGGTTTGAACCATAACGCACTGTTAGTTGTACCGCTTGGATTAGATTCCTACATAGGCCAAACATTTTTAAAAAACAGATAACAAAGCTAGATTGATAAATAAACTAAGATAATAACCTTAATTTTGTAAAAAAAACAAAAAAAAAAACACAATTGTATTGTTATATTGTAATGACAATATAACAGCCATATTTTTTCCGTTTAAAATAAAACTTCTGATTTGTTATAGTTTTGCCACAAGAATATTTAGAGTTAAATTTTTAATATTTTATAATAATAATAGCTAATAATTAGTGAATTACTTCATTCCATGATATAGGTGACATATTTAAACCAACGATAAGACATAATAGATCAAAGCTCATCTAATTGCAAAAAAACTTTACTGAAGAACTGAGTACATGAAGCTGGTATAACGGAATCTTCTAAAAATAACCTAATTATAATAGGTCTGTTACAACATAAGTTTTGACTATCCGTACAGTGCCAGGCGCATGCGTTAGCTCTAATATTTGTCCATAATTTTGAACTTTATCCTAATTTTCAAAAAAAAAATTAGAACACTTTAGCCTTGAATACGCATGTTTAACATCAGATGAAGATATAAAGAGAAATTTCAATTTTTTTTTCTTAAACTTAATAATGTTCGATTCTTACTAATCTTATAAGTGGAATAATAAATTTATTAAAACTTACAGAAACCTGAATTTTTATCACCACACTGAATGTATTTTAAAATACAACTGAAGTCAAAGAATGAACTTTTGACCTATTGCGAAGAGCATTCTGCAACTGAGCGTGAAAGGTAATCTTACATTAGTCTAATCTTGAAGTTGTATTCGCTTGTTGTTAAATGGTTATAGGCATCAAATAAAAATGAAGAAGAATGCAATAAAGAGTTGATATGCTACCTTCACTGTTAAAACTCTTTTTTTATAAGATATTGCATTTTTTCGATGATTTGTTTTTAATTATTTATTGAAATTTACATGTATTGAATAAATGCACAACCAGAAATAATAATAATGGAAAAATACAAACAGTAAATGTGAAAAAATAAAGGATAATGACATGAATTGACTAGCCGAGATATTACTCAATAGTAATTGGGTCTAGTAGTAATCTCTCTAAATAGTTCAAAATAAGAAGACGGTCTCGGGATCTTCTATTCAGACGCCTAGGAGGAAAATCAGATCAGGGATAGAAGGGGGAGCAAGTATGGAAACAAGTTCAGATGGATCTGGAGTTTATCTTGAAAGGACAGGTATCTGGGTCAAATCAGCAACATGTGGAACGTTATGAACGATTTTATTTGTGACAATATACGGAGCATCTAGGATTTTACAAATCATTTTGGATTGTAAGGATTGGATATGATAAGAAATCGATGGTTTGGTGGAACCTCAAAGCTCAAACCCGTATGGCCATATAGACCTATACAGGTGGCCATATAGGCCATATATGGCCATATACAGGAGCCATTTGTAATTTAAAGAAAGCTTATAGCGTTTTCCTAGTAAGCGAAACTTTAAGCAGCCAGAAACGTCAAGTAGTTTCTTGTCATTCCAGTGTCGTAGGGGGATTCCAAGCAAGATGTTTGTCCAGGTGAAGTCATAATTAGCGAATGTCTTTAACATTCGCGGGGTGGACGAGTGAACTAGCGCGTGTGTAAATCATGCGTTATTCTGAGCAACCTGAGAAGAACTGAAATTTAGGAGTTCAAATCTGGATGATTTTAACTCTGACCTTAATCCTCAGCTCTCACCCTGGCTCTGAAAAAAACCCTGTATAGCCTAACCGGTGAAGAAGGGGAGGACAAAAAGCCTATCATTAATCAGCTGTGTTAGAGAAATGTTGAATAAAATAAAATTCATATATCACGTAATATAAAGCAGCTTAAGAAATAAGTTTATTATTTTAAGGGTAGAGAGATGACGTCATTGCTAGGGGAGCGCCGAATGTCTAAGGCCGGTACTATGCCTACATTGTCTATTTATTTAATACCGACGATCCACGATTGACTCAACTTTACTTGACTTAACAAGATTGAAAGAGAATCGCTAGGATCTCTAGGAGTACTGCTTTGCCCTCAGCAATTGGGAGAAACAAGCTTGCTTCTGTATTTCTCAGGCTTAGTATGATTACTTTTATTTATATAATAAGAATAATTTTTATTGAATTATTTTTTGTCTACCAATATTTCATTAGATATCTATTATTTATTGCCCTTATAGGTACCATCGTAATATTTGACAATTAAAAAATGTCATTACTGAAGAAGTTATAACAATTTTTGTGATTTTCGAAACATAATTTTTTTAAATATTTATTTATACAGAAATATAACAATCTGTCACACGGACAATAACTATAATGAGTTATATGAACACATTCACACCATATATACAGAAAACATAAAATAAACCAAAGCAAAATAACAACTAAATAATAATCAAAAAGTATATACATTAAAAAATAATTTGAAGATAAGTAAATTAAAAACATAAAAAACTACATACAATATGTACAATCAGGCAGGAAGCTCCAAAAGATTCCTGCGCTACTCTCTCAACCGCGTTACTGGTGCTAAAGCCAGTGGAAATTGAACAAGAGCACTTTAGCCATCCATATACACACATACTCCGTGGTAGTCTGTACCACGGAGTATGAGTGTATATATTTTTATCGAATTATTAACATCGGCCAGAAACTTCGTAAATAGTTTTATCCCATCGTAACCTACAACTATTTTATTTGCGAAAAATCTTGGAATTAGTGTGTTTTCAATATGGAGGGTAGCAAACTTTATCTATTTAAATAGGCACTAAAAATAAATACCCATTTGCTTTCTATTTGGATCGTAAGATAAATTGATCACAAAAATACTGGGTCATTTGTTCTATCTAACTTCCTTATTTTGAAAATTTGGAGGTGTAGGTCACATCAAACGGCTCAATATTTTTGAAGGTCACCTTTTTTCTCGACTTTGTGATCAAATTATCTTACGTTCCAAATAGAAAGCAAATCTTTAGTACCTAATTAAATAGACAAAGTTTGCCCCCTTCCTTATTGAAAACGCCCGAATTCCAAGATTTTTCGTAAATAAAATACTTGTAGATTACGATGAGATGAAACTGTTTAAGAAGTTTCAGGCGGATGTTAATTGTTCGATATAAAGGGGTCTGTACCACGGATGTATTGATGTATTGAGTGGAGAATCTGACCATTGCCATCATTCCAAGATATATACTACAAAAGATCTCTGGGCCACTGCCGCTTCAACCTTCGAGGAGGATTGTAGGGATGGGTGGAGCTAGGGGATTTGGATGATTTGAAAGGTTCTGATGGAATTTGAAATTTTTTCATTGATAAGGTCTAGGACAAATGGGATACTAATGAAACATAATTGATAATAGTGTTATAGAAGTTACAACTCAAAAAAAAAGTAAGTGAAAAAATGAAATTATCCTCCCTCCTCCAATCTATTTATTAACGAAAACCTGTGCTGGACTCTAGAGCTTATCAATAGTTTGATGAATATTTTATTCTATGTATATATATATATATATATTTATTTATTTTTTTATTTAAGTTCACAAGTCAAATAAACAAATATTTTAGAAATAGTCATTATCAGGAATCACAGGGCACCCTCAAAAATCTTTATAGCGCAACTTGCGCCATGAAACCCCGTTCTGGACACCTCTGGTCATTATAACATGTAACTGACAGGAATCAAGTTTGGTAAACATTTTTCTTCTTCTTTTAACAGGTTTTCTCCAAAACCAATACTTACATAAATAATACCTATGCTTTCAAGAAATTAATGGTTAAACTGAAATTATTAAATGAAATGTCCATTGCAGTTTAAAAGAAGTTCCGTATAACGGTTAAGTCGTTATGTCTTCCATACCAAACAGGGTAGGTGTCTGGTCATGGGCGGGCGTTCTAGGTAGGAACAGGAAATCACACACACTTCCCCTTGACCTTAAATCATATTCTAAGGTCTTAATAGCGTACCGATTTAATCAGTAACTGGTGAAAGACTTTCCATGTTGCAAGGTATATACAAATATGTAAATAGATTTCCCCCTCTCAATCAAGAAAAGACACCAATACTTATTTAAAACGTAGCTGACATTAAACAATAAAATTGGACTCTTAACTATCCATACTAACCCATTAGAAATGATAAAAAAAAAAAATAAAGTCCCAAAAAGCCACAAATCTCGCAAGTAGCTTATCCAGGATTTAATATGGGGAGGGGAGCAGCCCAAAAGATTATTATATTTATTTATATAACAATAATTACTTTAGATTACTACATGAAAAGCAATTCTTTAAGTCCTATTAAATGTAAGTACAGGAACAATAATACTTTTAGAGAGTTTTTACTATTTTTGTTTTTTGTTTTTGAGAGAGGAGATTTTACCGCCTTGACTCGAAGAAAATAAAATGTTGATAGTTCTGCACACACTTACTCAGTTACACGTATAGTTCGTTTTAAAAATAACGATAGATTTAAATTTTTAAAAAGAACAATGACTTCAACCACAGGCGGATCCACTGGAAAGGGAGGGAAGAGCTATCGGGCTGAAGCCCCCTCCTCCAAAATATAAAAATATACACATTTTTTTCATTCATCCATCTTACTTTCTGTGAGTGATTTGGACTAAATACTTAAACAATCACAATATGCCCTATTTTCAAATAATAATGTTCGCCCAGCTACTAAATACAAGCTACTTTTCAAGAAAAAAATTAAAAATAACTATCCCTTAAAGCATTATTCCTTTTGTAATTAATGTCATTTTTTACAGCCCTTCAAGCACCACTTAAATATTATTTTATATAGTTTTATTAATTAAAAAAAAAAAAGCTACCCCTCAAAAATTAGTAGCGATCCGCTACTGATTTCAACTAATGATGTATTTAGTTCAATGAAGCAATAATTTTCAATAAATAAAATTTAAAAAATAGTTTTCTAAGAAGTTATAATTTTTTTTAATGGAGGAAGTTAGTCGACTGTTCTACATATAATAAGTTATAACTATTAAGGACGCAGTCATTATAAGGTTTTTATTAGTGCCGACGTTTCAACCCAAACGTGTGGGTCGTCATCAGGGCGTGTTTCGAGCACTGAAGGTATTGAAATGTCTAAACGCACGCACCTTAAGATGGATTCGAATCCGTCTCCAAACGGGGCTAAATATCGATGGACACAGCGCAGAGTTTAGAAACTTACAATTTGTTTACATCCCATTATCTAATGAAACTAAATATAAAAAGAAGCGACAAAGCTAATTATAAAAAGTTTTACGAATGCGTTAACAGTACTGTACCTTAATATTAAAAATTAAATTAACATTTATTTGTTATAATATTTAAATAAAATATAATACTAAAATAATGTGGAACAACTTACTTAATTAACATTAAACTTTCCATAGATATAAATATTGAAATATCTACATTAATGAAGTCCAGGGACGGATAAAGCCAGATTAAGGTCCGTCGGTATTAGTCAAGATCTACTTCTAGTGACGTCATACCTGCTGTACGTTCTTTTACCATGATAATTTTCATTAAAAAAAATTTCATTTGCATTTTTAATTCACATCAATATAAGTTATTAACGGAGTAGATTTATTTTTATATCAAATTTATTTGGATCTATGCATTACTAATGTCCACTCAATTTACAACATTGACAAGATATCTAATTAAAGAAGGTGGTCTCGAGACGATCTTAAAATAGAACTGTTTTTTTTTTTTCTATAAGTGTCAGTCATATTATATCATAGCTCACGCGTATTAGATGTATTTTTCATTTTTTAATACAGTAATACATGTAAATGAATTGTAGATGAAAGTATATTCCGATTATCAACACCAATAATAATAATTCATTTTCACACTTAATGGTTGACAAGACAGAAATTACTACATTAACGTTATATTACATAGTAAAATAGAAAAAAAAATTAATTAACAATGGTAACCGAATTTATTCCCCATCCTTCAAAATACATTTAAAAAAAAATTAACATAATCTTGGTATTTATAGTTCAGAGATTTTTAACACCTATGATAAGATTACTTAAAACAATTAATGAAAAGCTAGTATTTAAATCATTAAAAGGATGTTATATGCTTAACTTAGATTTTTAAAACAATGACCTGATACATTTCTAAATACCTTGATAGTGTAGAAGTTATAACATAAAGAAATATTAGAAAGTGAAAATAAAAGGTTATTACTTACATTTTACGAGACGCACTGCTACATATTAGCTAAACAAATTCCGAAAGACCGTTAAAGTTTCCATTTTAAAAGTTAGCAATAAGAAATACATAACACTAATAATAAATAACTGAGAGACGCTATATGTAAAGTTGAACATTTTCCTTTTAAAAATATAGTTGCCATCTTAATACCACAACCTTCTCATTACTTCATAATAAGATAATGAAAAAACTTTGTTGCTTGGCAATGAAATAACGATAATTCAAAGATATATTTTTAAAAAAATTATTAATTTAATTATTAACAAACATCAAACTTTCAATTGATAAATATTGTCTTTTACATTATTGAATAAGTCTTGATAGTAATATATTGGAGGGAAAATCATGTTTTGCGCGGTTAAAACTTGTGTGGCAGTTCTTATTCGAATAGGTCTCGCGTTAATTCCTAAGAGTATTTTTTAAATATTGGCATTCCCACTATGGTTAGGAAAATATGAAAATATCATAGAAATAGCTAAAATGTTGTAGTTGACGTTAGCAAAAAAGCGACTGAAGTGCTTTGTTAGGCCTATACACAGTCATGAAAACAAACTCAGCTCTGTTCCTAAAAAGAATGCATGGTTGTGAATTTAATTAAAGCGTGTATAAGTAATATAAATTTGTATATGTTTAACAGCAGAAAAAAACCGGAATTGCAAATGATAATACGGTTGGAGGGGAGGGGAGGAGAGCATGAGGGTGGGAGAGAACTCTGTGATAGCTCAGTGGGGAAGGCTCTCTCGTCCATTCCGGCTCCGACTTAGTTACTGTTGTGTTTGATTAAGCCCCTGTCAAGATGTGTGGTAAGTATTTCTATATCGTTTATAATATAATAATGGCAATCTACCTTAGATTCGTAGATTCTATTATTTTTACATTTTATGTTAATTCTAAGTGTTGTTTTTGTAATGTGAGTTTTAAACTCAAATGTCATGTATTTTAACTACCACTTATTACATCAGTTGTTAAACCACAGGGTTATTGACAGCAATGCTATTATATACCAATAACTGTAAGTAAAGAATTGCTGAATAGTCTGCTTTTCATAATGTGTCTAAATTATTTACCATTCCGTGGTCAAGTATACTCCATACTTTGAAAGACAGTTTTAAAGAAAACGTTTAGCTTTTGAAACCTGTCACACCTTAACTAGCATCCTATTAATTTTTAACATACATTTATCATTGGTTTTTATGTGTAACGTTAGAATCAGTGTTTATTGATAACATTTATCAGTAATACTGCATTCATTTATAGAGCACCATCTCTGCTCCACGAACAAGTCGAGGTTTATTCAAATTATAATACGTGGCTATTGTTCTGGGCTGGAAATAGCTTACAAGGTGAACCACTTTCTTACTCTGGAGCTAACGGTTTATGATTAACCTTCACATTCTTATTTCCTTGCTACTTTTCTCCACTATCCCTTTCTTTAACTGTACATTCCTCTTGCTGTTGTAGTGTAAACAAAGAAGCGAAGCTAATTATCTTTTATAGGACGAATTAATAAATTCTTTTGTGTTTGTTTTTATTTACCTAGAAATGAATGCAAAGGCTTTTATTCAACTTCTCTGTTATCTTCTATTAAGTTTTAAGCCATTAAACTTATTATATTTGTAATAACTTCAGTGCAACTAGTTATATATTTTTTATAAATGTTGTTATATAAGAAACTACTTTCTCAGCACCCTTCATTCTTTTGATTTCTGCATTAGTTGATTTTTTTATTGAAATGTTTTTCATTTCTTTGCCATTTGTTAATAATGATAATCAAGTATTTTATTAAATAAACAAATATAATTTGATAATTTGTATTCAAATATTCATAACTGCATTAAATAAAAGTTATATTGAGAACTTTGTTTAGTGTTAATGTAAGAATATCGTGTTAAACGATTTCAATATGATAAATAAATTTCTTCCAATTCAATATCTCTGTAAATTTTGATTGGTGTTTATGTATACTATCATGGCTTTGTTTTTAAAATTTGTAAAAAAAAAGATTAATTTTATTTATTCAATCTTTAATGTAGCTAAAGAAAACGAAAATAATATACTCTACAAGATTTTGTTTCTCTATTTTTAAAATAGGTAAAGCTCTAATGTTCAATATTATTACATGGTAAAAAGGAAATGAAGCTTTTTTCATTAGTTTTATTCTTACCGAACAAAAAAAGAAGTCAATACAGCTCTGGAGGAAGCTAGTTATGTTCAAATTTTCATGTTATCCCTCTTCTATAAATGAAGCTAACCAAAGTAGAAAATTTGGTCAACATTTTTACATTATATTGGTTCTAAATTTAGTGATATGTTCAGAATATCCTTTTACCATACCTAAATGATATAATTATGTATGTTCTTTGAATTTGAATTTTTAGTCATTTAACTTGCTGATTTTAAATATGTAAATTTAGTAGCTAATTTAATAAGAAGGTTATTTATTTTTATTTTTAATGCAATCTGTAATATCATAAGTAACAATAATAAAGTTAAGAAATGGTGTTGTGTTCCAGGAATTTTTGCTTACCTGAACTATTTGACTCCAAAGAGCCGCAAAGAAATTTTGGAACTTCTGTTGACTGGTTTGAAGCGTTTGGAATACCGTGGATATGATTCAGCCGGTAATTTCTCACCATTAATTTGTGCTTGTTTAGTGCAGACTAATGCTTGTATTAAATTTTTTATCTTATAAACACTAAATCAAATTTTTCTCTCATTTCCTATATTTGTAATAAGTTTTTTGTGTAGACTGTATTTAATTATTTTCATTATTATTTTTGATATTTATTTTAATATGTCCGTTTTTAGTTTTAAAAAATCAATCATTACTCTGTTATTAATTTATATTAAAAACACATTTTACATTAGTTTAGTTTAAAAAATAACAAAATGCAAATCAACTTAGTTACTTATTTATAGTCACTTTTGTAATTAATTGTAAGTTCACTTTTTATGACGGGCAAGTTCCAATTGAGAAATCAGACAATTAATCTTAAAGATTTTTTTATTGACTTGCTCATTAAATAGTCTCTCAGGAATTGCTGATTAAATTGTCATTAATGTTAAATTGCTCATGCTGATTAAATAGTCTCAGGAATTTCATAGAAATATAGTCCTTATTACTCTACTTAAGTGCTTCATTTTATTTGTCTTTATTATAAATCTGTAGAGATTGGTCAAAAGGTCAAATGGCAAAACTAGCAGTGTTTCAATAGGGCCAATTGAATTTGTAATATTTTAATATTACTTAGCATTTCTCATGCTTTCTTCACATATAATTTGATGTTCTGCTTATTTCAAATTTTAAAGAAAAGAATCATGAAAAATGCTCATCTGCAGTAAACTGTTAAACATTCAATTGTATCTCCTGTTAAACCGGTATTTTTGGCATTTGACATTTTACTATCCTCAACAGATTTATTTTCTAAATATAAGTTGGCTTTAAAAAATATGGAAATATCAATCACCTTTAAGTTCATAAACCATTCCATAGATTTTTTAAACTATATCATTGTTAGTATAATAGAATATTTAATTCAAATTATAACTAGAAAACAGTCGAATTTTGTTTTATAAAAGCTTTGTCATATAAATGTGTTTATATTATTAATAGAAAATTAAGTATTTTGTTTATTAAACATTTTTTGTCGTGTAATTAAGTCTGTGCTTTTGTCTAAGCCTAATTTTCTTAATAACATCATCTAATTTTTTTATACTAGCTAAATTATAGTGGTTCTCACAGTTCATTTTAATAAGCATTAAATTAAAAGTGGGATTAAATCATAATTTTTAATTAACAATCTCAGTTCTATTGATGAGTTGATTTGTCTTACAACTGTCAAAAAGATCTACTATTACAAATGAAAATTTTATTTTATTGGTATATATTATTTATTACCTTTTCAATTGTTAAATTTCACCAAAAAATATCTTTGAAATAACTTAACTTTGTTCAGTTAGTTGTTCCAATTTTTTCTTATGAATAATAATGAGTTATATTGCTGATTATACTATTGATTGAATTGTAATAACATTACTCTAAATTTTATTATAACAGACTCTGTATTAACAATATATAAATGTAGACCAATGACAGCACATTTTTTTTTGTTGAAGAAGTAGAAAAAATTTTTTTCATTTACAAAATTGGGATCAGTTTGAAAATTCTCCTTAATTCACTCATTTAACAACAGTCTAAAGTATAAAATAAAGAGTCTAAAAAACTCTAGTCTTTATTTTGCATATAGTTTTTGCAGATTGAACAAGTTACGGTCCCTTGATGGTTATTGTTCAAACAATTTTAAAACACGTTACCTATTTTGTTGTATAGAATCGATGATATAAAGTGACACCTCTGGTTAGCAGATTTTAAAGAAAAAGTTGCAGTAACATCCCAGGCATATACCTACATTAAAAAACTAATTTCAATTCCGTACGACTTTTAATTTTTGAGCTAGGCTGTTCACATATACAGACTGAGACACATCCACACAAACCATTTTGTGGGACTTAGTTATTTGGACTCAGAAGAATCTCGTGTATTTTCATTAAAAACTGAGATTCAAAGGTTTTCATAAAACTTTCACTTACTATGTATTACAGATATAGGAAAGTAAAAATATGCTGTAAAGGTTTGGTGTTTTTACAATTTTATTCTCTATATAATAGTGTTGGTTATCACAACTATTTCAGTATCCGGATTAGGTCTAACACTGGTTAATCCAAATAATGTATGCTCTACTATTCACTCTGTATAAGATTCATTGTTGGCTAGTGTTTGAAAATTTTAGTCTTGACACATAATTTTCCATTTTAATATTTAAACATTTAATCGATATATTTTTAAATTAATTATTTTTCTTTATGTCATTATAGGTGTTGCATTTGATGCTGCCACTGGTAAAGACATTACTATTGTGAGGAAGAGTGGAAAAGTTCAATCTTTAGAAGATGAGATTACAAATCGTAAGTTTATTTAATTATATGTTAGTGTAACTGGTAATATTTACCAACTTATTTAAAATAGATTAGTGCTCTTCCTACATGAGTATATTTGACTCCACTTAACTTTAAAAAAACTCTACTCTTCAATATTCAATTTTATAATTGAAAAAATAGTATTAAAATCAATGATTTTTTTTTAGCTTTTGGTGAAATATTACTTGATTATTATTATTTTATTATATATTTTTTCACTAAAACTTCTAACATAATATCAGTAACTTATAAATGAATGATTGAATTAAAAGTTTCTAAAAATAAAAAATTTATGTACGGAAATTTTAATGTATATCTATTGTGTCACACTGTATCACATTTCTATGCCGTTTGATTCTTAAATATAGTCTTTGAAACAAATCTAAACAAAAGAAATTAGTAATGTCCTGATTGATCATGGCTAACCGAAAATTGGGTGTTCTACTTTTAGAACCAGTATAGGCTGGGGAAAGTTGTCTTATGTAATATGGATCTGGACTTTAATGACCGCTGATGCTATAATTTTTGTTGGATTATATCGTATTGTGATGTAACTAAATAGAGTTGTTTTCATATGCCTGCATAACTGTCTAATAATATCTGTCCTACTGGTTTTTCAATCATCATGTGTTAAGAGACCATTCCAGCTGTTGATCAATCATGATTAATCCTCTGTTCCATCCATTATTTTATTCCATAATTTAGTTATATAATGCATTCTACGAAATGAATTAATACTTATGTCATAAATAAAATTTACACATGAGATAATTCATAATATAAGCAACTATGGAATGATGATTTTTTTTTTCCTTTATAGTTGCTTCACAATCTTCAGGTGTTAAATAAAAATCTGTGATTAACAAATGTTTATTCTTATGGAGTTTTAATTTCTATTTTGGTTACAATAAAGATTAAGTAATAAAATGTTTAACAGTATTGGTTCTCGCAGTAAGCCAATTAATTAAATATATATATATTTTTTGTATTACGAAATACAGCATTTTCCAATACGAAATTTTCCCTATCATATGTCAATAAAAGTTACTTTTTACCTTTTTTAAAATCCAGCTTATGTTTTGCAAACACAGTAATCAGTTTTGTCTTGTGCAGGCAAAACTTGAAGAAGGATCTTGTGGAATGATGCTTACCCTAAACGAGGGGAAAACCTTTCCTTTCCACGTATCTTCTGTCAAACAATAAGCTGCGTCATCGAATAGTTGATTGAAATTAATTACATTTAAAACGAAAATTAAAGTTTCACTAGAAATATTTAAAACAAAAGAAAAGACCTAATCCATATACTAACTCAAAATAATATAAATCACTAGAAATTGTTTTAAAAAAAAATCAATAAACTTGAAAATCAGCAGATTAAATCATTATTTAAAGAAAGAAAAAATGAGATGAGCTTTTTTTTTTTTGTACATCAATCACTGTATATAAAATGGCAGAAATCCATTATTATTCTTGAGTTTAAAATATTTTTGACATGTGATGCTTGAAGTAAGTTGTATGTTAAGTAAAGGTCTTAATGGTTTTCTCCCTCAAATTAGCAAATCTTCTCTAACAGACCTGCCTTAATTTAAGCAAATGCTTAAGGTGAATTGCATATAATTCTCGAATCACCAAAGTTGGTCATTGGTTACTGTTTGGGAGAAGACCAAAGTTTTTTTTTTCCAGTTTTCACTCAGTTTTATAGTTTTATAAGATCTACGTGATGTTAGCTTAAAACCCAGTTATTAATAGTTATATTTATATATGTCATAATTCTATTTTGTTTTCTTCCAGGTATTACTGAATTTGGTGTTGAGGACATGACTGATCTTCATATCGGAATTGCACACACCCGTTGGGCTACTCACGGTGTTCCCTCAGAGTTGAATTCTCATCCTCAGCGATCTGACCCTCAAAATACATTCGTCGTTGTTCACAATGGTATCGTCACCAACTACAAAGATGTAAAGATATTCCTCACTAAGAAAGGATACACATTTTTTGAATCAGAAACTGACACTGAAGTTATTGCTAAGCTGATTCATCACATTTATACCCAACATCCAAACTACTCATTTAGGGAACTTGTAGAACAAGTCATCAGTCAGTTGGTAAGATTTTTTTATTCATATATCACTTAAAGGCTACCGTGTTTTATTAAACTCAGTTTTTGTCATTGTTTATGAGTGTTTTATTAAATAGTTATCTAAATTTACAATACTGATAGGACTGAAGTAAGTTTTTTTTTTTTTTCTTTTGAGAAACTTTTAATTCCATTACATCCTCTTCTACTTCTCTCTATCGATAAACTTCTTCATGTGAATTTCAAATAGGCACTCCACACATCTCATCTTAGAATAGGTGTTTTAATTTCAGAATCAACTGTTTATTTAAAATGCACATCGGGTTTTTTAATTTATATACCTTATGAGCATTCAGCGTCACCCCTCACTTAGACTATCTGGCTCATAGGGTGGCCCAATCTATGAACGGCCTTAGTCAAGTAGTGGGCGCTTTCTGCAGCCTCAGATACCTGGCAACAATGACTATTTATAAAGGTATGGTTGTAGGTATTCTGAGGTATAGGTCTCCTGCCTGAAATCAGAATCTCTCGCACCGACAGAAGAGCAAGTTAGTGGCAATCCAGCGAATAGCTCTGCTGAGGGTCACCAGAGCTTACAGGAGTGTGTCTCTCGAACTCCTCCTGCGAGAAGATATGTTAAAGTATACATTCAAGAAAGAAGGTTCAGCTTGACTACGGGAAATCTCAAAGTGAAGATTGTGAAAACCATAGAAAATGGAATACTATAATCCGGGAGGATGCAATTGAAGAGTGGAATCAACAGTGGGTGACAAATCAGAAAAAGGCCACCTTGAGGTTCTACATTCCCACTGTCCAATCACGTTCTCACAGAGAATGATTTCCCTCAGCTAGTCACACAAGAAAGCTAACCATGCTACAGGGAATTTGTGTACGGGTGAAAAAAAAACAATAGGTCCAGCACACTTTAACTTCATAAGAAGAGGTCCAGCTCCTGGAAGGCAGCCAGAACGAGGAGGAGGAGCGGAATAAGAAATACACATAGATAATAACAAACAGCAGACTGATTTGATGAGTTTCGTGCAGGAGTAGGAAGTTGTGCGCAATGATGCAGTCATGCGTAACAACTGTTCTGCAAAACCCGAATTGCCTCAATGGCACAGTAGGCCTTCAATAAATAAATATACCGTACGTAATTTTAGATTTATTTTGCTCTTTTGTTTATGAAATCAAATATGCTTGTCATTGTTCATTTTAAGAATTTTTAATACTCATGAAAGGGTGTCAGTTTTAGGATGTTACTCTTAATAAAGCAATAGAGAATATTAAATTCTACTTGTATTATCCAGAAAGATGTGTTTTTATTGAAATAAAATATGGTTTAAGTCTATCCCGTAGTTGTTATAAAAAACTTATATATTTTTTAATATGATGGATTAGTTGGTTGTTTTGATGATTAGGCGCAAAGCATCTAGGTCATCAGTGCCTTATCTATAAAAAATAGTTATATGATGGATTGGTAAATATTCTATGATTATAAATAAAGCATTTCTTTCTCTCCAAATGATATAGTAGACTCCAATCTATTGAACTTTTTGTTTTTGTATTATCCCCAATCTAACCTTGGATTGTATACAAATTGAGATAACATAACTCTTATTGCTAGCTTAGCTTTTGATTTAAAGTTGATTGTATGTTTATGTAATACCCGGTGAATATATATTGTTACATCCCTCTTATATTTGACAAATAATAATAATATAACCTCGGAAGCTCACTTTTTACCATTGGGATACTTCCTAAATAGACAAGAGGTTGTTTAATAATAAAAAAAATATAAGAGAATTAATATATTTATTTATCTCAAGTCTGGGTTACTGACAATCAGATCAACTCAGACAAACTAAAATTAACTATACTAAACACTGTTTGATTTTAAAATAAAGTCAAATATGGATTGGCAAGCTAACCTTTTTTTATATTATATGTTTCTTACTGAACTCATTTGTCTTCAAACACTTTCCAAAGTTCTGCCAAACACAACTTCCAAATTGGTGATACTTCCTTCTACTCAACTCAAGCTCACTGGGAGATACTCTCGCTTGTAATTCCAAAATACTAGTCTCTCTGCCAAAAAAACAACTTTCAAGATGGTAATACTATAACTGGGTTTTACCCAATGGAGCCAGGTCCCTTCTATCCTCTCTTCGCTCCAGCCAAACATCAACTGCTTGCCAAAACAAAGTCCTTTGTCCCTCTCCTCTTTGGGATTTTCTTTGTTGAAAAACTACAGAGCAGCCATTTTCTTATCCCTGCACTAGTAGAAGTAGATTAGCTTGCCTTTTAATTGTTCAATATTAATTTATTAAATCATTTTTACCCACTTCCAATAAGGGTGTATATTACAATATATTTATGTGGTGTAAAATCTATCAGTTTATGGAAAGATAAATGCGTCTCCAATATTAATTTTTTTGTATGCGATTATAAAATAATTTTTGTTTTCAATTAGGAAGGTGCATTTGCCTTGTGCTTCAAGAGCAAATATTTCCCCGGAGAATGCGTTGCAACCAGACGTGGTAGTCCACTGCTGGTTGGAATAAAAACAAAAACAAGACTTGCAACTGATCATGTACCAATATTATACAGCAAAGGTAAAGTGCTTAGCATGAGCTTATATATGAAAATATTAATTTTTAAATTATTCATAAGTTAACTTATTTTGAAATCTGTTATTAAATTAGTTTCAATTTGATCATATCATTCAGGAAATTTTATTCATATATTTAAGATACAAATTTCTTTTTTATTAATTTTATAATTTTTCTCCGTTTGTTATTCCTTTTTTTACTAGTAAATGGCAAAAAGATATATATATATATATATATATACATATATATATATATATATATATATATATATATATCTTTTTGCCATTTACTAGTAAAACATATATATATATATATATATAGTTGTTTTATATATATATATATATATATATATATATATATATATATATATATATACATATATATAAACAACAATTAACTAGATTTTAAAAATATTTCTATCAAGTAAACCTACTTACTGTTACTCACCAATTTTAATGAAATTCAGTATATTCCTTGAACAATGAAAAATATCTCTCACTCAATATTTGTTATATTCCTTAAACTTTTTTTTATCTTATGTTGTAAAATATCCTCTTAAGAGTAAATCTTTCCACACACACAAAAAAAAAATATATGGCAGGCACAATATTTTTCATTGTGCAAGATACATATGAAAGTTTTCATTAAAATTTTTAAGTTGCACATTTGTAAATTTATTTGTTTAAAAGTATAACAATGATAATAAATATTTGCTCGCCACTTATTGTTGATTGTTTTTAGACACAAAATGGTAGTTAAAATGTACAATTGTAAATATAGTGTAAATTAATCATGATTTTAGGTATTCATGGCAAATAGCATGCCTGGACTTTCTGTATATATGTGTATACTCATCCACCACTGTGTATTTCTATGTAGATACTCTTGCCCGAGCTGATTGAACCTGTATATTAGAACTTGTTTGTTTTATCTAATCCATGCTCGACAGGCTTATTTTGAATGAACCTTCTTCACTGTGTAATTTCAATTTTATATTTCATACTACTCATAGTTGTTAGTTTATTAAAGACTCAATAGTTATTTAATTTTTCATTAACAGTAATAACCAATTATTGTTACAAAAATGCTTTAATAATTATTTTTAAATTTATGTACATATATTAAAATATGCATTGAATGAAATATCCAAAATAATTTATTTGTTCATCATCATTCAGAATAAGCCTTGATCATTTGCTTGTATGGAATGATATATTTAGTTTATATTCATTGTTTTGGTAATTTTGTTTGTTTAATGTTTGTTTGCATTTTTGTGATGTTTTAAAAATTAATGTTTATGTTATTTTTATGTATATCTTTTTTTGCATGTTTTCTTCTGCCTCTCTATCTGTCCTTCTATCACTATCTTTCTTGTTCATTCTTTCTTTGACAGAGGAACCACAAGCCCCTTCCTCAGGTACATTTAGTACTAATACTCTTCACAAATATTTTATAACTTGTACATTTCTTTATCTGTAAATAATAATAATAGTGTTAATAAATTGCATGGACTAAACTCATGTATGTGAAACTAATTTCGATTGAGGATGCTAACTGCAGAACTGATAACGTATAACCAACACTAACAAACAACACTCACTTGTAATCTTGTTTGATCCAAGACAGATACAAAATCATGTTAAAATATATAGGCCTCAATCTTTATAGTCTAGAATCCTGCATCTTGTTAGCTGCTGAATAAAAACTGATAATTTTGAAATATTTAAAGTTGATTAAAAATTAAAATTTTAAGCATATCATTGTTAAATTTTAACGTTAGGGCTGTTTAGGTGTTAGCTTTCTTGTCTACCTGTTTTTGGAATAATTTTTAAAAATCACCAATGATTCTTGCTGAATGAAAAGTAACATTTCAAAGGCTTTAATAATAATTGAAAAAGTTTGAAACAACTTCTTCATTTTTTGTTCTTTATTATCAGCTTTTAATGATTATTATTTGTGTTTTTTTTTTAATGCCTTGTTTGAAATGACTATACTGTTTCTAAACATTTATTTAAATTGGTTGTTTTGAAAAATAGAAATAACATAATGACATTTTGAGACACTATTCTCTTAACAACTTAAAACAATATAGAAAGTGAAATATATTTGCTGTATTTTTAAATATCAGTGTTAAATATATCATAATTCATATAAATTGAAAGGATTTTTGAAATTTAATCTAACCCTGAGAAATGGTTCAAGATGGGAAGTTCAGAATTTTTAGTTATTATCAATCTGCTTGATTTTTTTTAAATTATTTGTTTTTTATAGTTTGACTATAAGTAAAGAATGGTTTTAGAATCACTCGTGACTTAAAGAAAATTTATTTATGATAACGGTTATGATGTTTCAGAACAAAACATGGAGGAGGTAAGCATCTGAAAATGATATTAGTGATTTAACAATTCCTCAATTATAAATAAAAAGATTTGTTTACATGTATGTATATTGTATAATGCTACATCTTACACTATTGACTGATTCGTTTGATTTTGTCCTTTAAACTTATCGAGTTTAGGAATTCATATCAATTTAAATTTAAGCAATTCTTTTTCAATTTTATTTTATACATGTTTTTCCCTAGAATTATCACTGTTTAATTTAGTTTCACAACATACATTTATATTTATTTTTCTTTTATACATAGTGCAAAATCACAAGGATTTCTGTTATGCATGCTGTATGTCATTGCTCTCTATTATTCTTCAGAACTGTAGCTAGCATCTCTTTCCGTTACTAAATTGACAATCAACATTTTTTTTTTTTTTTGTTTTATTTATGTTTGATTTTAAACTTAGATTTAGTTATAGTTTTAATTTTTTCTTTATTTACTTTTTAAAAAGTATGATATAGTAGAACTTTGATAATTTACTGTTGACGACTCATTTACAAGCAGTTTGGTACTATGCTTCAGATTGAAATTGATTAATTCATTTACGAAGCGTTAATTCTTTATTTTATTTTATTTTTTTATAACTTTTCTATGTTTATTTTGTAAGCATAAAATTTCTTCAGTAATATATTTCCTCAAATTGCTTTGCTTTGATGCCAGTCATAAATAGACAGATGACCAAATATCTCAAACAGATATGAGAAATTTATTGCTTATGTTAGTTTATTCCCTCATTAATTACCAATTACTATATTTTTTTAATAATTTACATAAGTTATTATAATTTGAAAGTTTTTAAAATTCAGCCATTCATATTTTTTTTTTAAGATTCATTTATTAATCATTCTGATGTTTATTTAAACCCAAAGATCGGCTGGACTGGATCACTCATACAAGTTAGGATAAAATAAAATTATCCTTTGTATCCCAAGGTATATTCCTGATTCTAAAATTGTTTTATTATAGATAGTTTTATTATTTATTACTGTAGTGTATCTGAATTAATCCTTCATAAAAAATTGTTGCATTGATTTATTTGTCCTTTATTCTTATTTTTTTTTTAAATTTTCACATCAAGTTAATAATTCGCTATCTATAAAAGAAAAATTGTATTCATTTTTTTTCTTTATTTATTGTTATTAACTATTTTTTTGCTCGACTTTCAGCACCTCCACTTCTAGCCTCCACCCACCAATTGATATTTGTTTATGATAATGGTTTCATACAGTTAACATAGCTTTCGGGATTTAGTTCTCTCTACGAACCAGGATGACTTTCTTGTTTTGAATACCTTGACAGCAAACATTATTTTATTAACAGAATGCATTATTCATGATAACTCTGTTGTCATCAAAGCAAATAAGTAGTTTCCAAATATAAAGGCTTATACTTATCCTACACATGCTTTAACACCAACTATCAGTTTTTAGTTTTTCTTTTTCTTTATGTCGAGACAGGTTTATTCTTTAAACGTAATGTTTAGTTTTATTTAAATCTACATAATTTATATTTTATAAAATAATGTTTATTATTTATTTTTATTGTTTACTTGCCTTTGGTTCTCTTCATTGCCATTTTTTTATTAATTTCTATTCATTTGGTGGGAATTTTTTTTTACTCACACTTCATTGCCAAAAAACTTTCTGGTAACTATTCTCAAAATAATGTTTACTCCATTAAAGTACACGTGCTTATTCACCATAATAGATGTTTTATTTAAATCATACTAATCTTCATATGAATCAATGTATCATTATACTATTATTAGTAATTTCAGAATGATATTTTAAGTTTTATCTTTATCGATTCCATTCACTAATACTTCATATATTAGCTATATTAATAATTATTTGGTTCATATTCATGTTTAAATGTTCTCTCCTTCCTCATAATAAATTGATTACTTTTCAAAGTTCTACTATATAATATTCTAAGAATTTCAGTTTTATTTTTTTTTATTTAGTTTTTGTTTGCATGTCTTCCTTTTGTCTTGTGATGTTTTTTTAATTTCTGTTTCTGTTTTATCCTCTCTCATCATACGTCACGGCATTAGATGCTGAGACCCATTCACACGCAGGTATTTCCAACCTTTTCAAAATATCATTAATCAAAATGGCTTATGCATTAATTAACCAATTACATACCTTTTTTGTTATTCACTTCCAATGCTGTTTTCTGTTTTACCAAATTTAAATTGTCTGTTTTTTTGTTCTAGTTAATCCTCACAATGTTTCAAATCCTCGAACAATGCTTTGCGGTGGTGGATTTCATATTATATTTCATGTATTATTATTCTTTCATTGATACATCTAATTGAATTCATAATAAACAGATGCTTTATTACTTTCTCATTGTACCTTTTTCTTAAGTTAAATTTGTGCATGCTTTTTTGATTTAAATTAAATTAAAATATTTTATTATCTAATTATAATTTTCTAACATATAAAGCATCTGTTTGTTTGTTCGATTTGTTGAATGAATTTGATTCCTTCTCCTGATATAGATCACCGACCTCATGGCAGAGAGATCCCATTACTTCCAAGATCTGAGTCTAGCTCAGAGTTCAAGCCTCTTGAAGACAAGGAAGTTGAGTATTTCTTTGCGTCTGATGCTTCCGCTGTCATTGAACACACAAATAGAGTTATTTTCCTTGAGGTAAGGCAGTAGTAATAGTAATATGCATTATTAAATAGCTATGAATTGTTTTGATTTTTGTTGAGTTTTTTCCTAGGAAATTTTTATCTTCTATTTGCTTATTATAGTTGTATTTTCCGGAAGAAGATATATTATAAAAAAACTTTTAATATTTCAAATTAATTTGTATTACACCATCTATTGACAATGTTTCGTATCAATAGTAATAACATTTCTTATTAAAAAATTTTATACTGTCTTATGATTTGTTTAAAAAATATGCATATATCTTTTCTCCATACTCATTATTGTCTGAAAGAATTTTCGTCATCCTCCATCTTTGACAAATTTTGTACATTCTTTCATTATTTTTATTTTGGTTTCTTTTTAAAATTATAATATTTTAGAGCAGATGTAATTCTCAATGTCTGTTGTATTTATTTCTCCGGATGTACAGATGTACAGAGATCTGTGAACACCATTTTTCTTGTGTTTTTGAAATTTGTAAACCCGGCTTTTAAGTTATATCTTGCAATATACATTAGTAAATAAATTGGTCTAATCTCTTGAAAAAAAAAATATGTATATATATATATATATATATATATATATATATATATATATATATATTTGGTCATGATTTAGAGCTTGAAATTATTGTTCAAAAATTATTAATTTATACATCAATTTTTCATTAATGGAGTTGAATTTATACATTTTTATATTATTTCTCGAAGGCTCTTTCTTTTTTTTTGAAGGCATATCTCTCTTATTACTTCTTTAAGACCAGTCAATAAGCCATCATTTTAAGACTACCTTCTCTATTAGTGGTGAAAAATAAGTACAGCCCCAGAAAAAGGAGGAAAAAAAAGATATAAGAAAGTAAAACTTTATTTTCGGCACAACTCATAAAGTAAAGAGTTTATCGTTGATTAATCATTTGAAAAATTATTAAATTGCATACAAATGAGAAGAAAAAATATTGACATTTTAAACCATTGTATAGCAAAGATACAGCCTATCGAACGTACCAATGTTTTGATTTGTAATTGACCCAGAAAAAAACAAGATCCCATGTTTCCGACCTTTATATCCCTTCCCATAGAACTAAGACGTTTGAATATTCCTTTATTTCCCGATCCACAGCCTTCTGGAATTCCTTGCCATCTGAAATCCGCCATGCCTCTTCCTTGTCCTCATTTAAATATCATCTCTACCAATTCCTTCTCACATCCCAAAATGATGTTATATAATAAAATTAAGTATTGTGAAACAGATTTTGACTGAGGTGAATGGTTGATAAAATTTATTGAGTCTTAATTTTAAAAATCAACCCATGCTTATTTTATTTTATTTTTATTTTCATTTAAATAATTTTTTTTTATTTCGTTTTTTCTCAAAATTTTATTTTATTTTTAATTGTTTTAATTTAATTTCACTGAAGATACTGTATATATACTTTAATATTGATTAATGTAATTTTTGGCCAGATGTAGTTTTTATTTTTTGTTCATTTCTGTTATTCATAAGGTACCTTGTCCCAGAATAAAGTTTACTTTCTATCTCTCTATCTGTCATTTTTAAAAAGTTGGGAAACAAATTTGTCTGTAAAATGGCTTCAATTTAAACTAATTCTAATGGTTTTTTTTCTCATGATTCAAATTGAACATTCATAATCATCTGAGTGAATACGCCGTCATTCATAATTATCAGAAACAGTCTAAGTTAAACTTACAAAACTAAATTAAAAAATTAATTAAAAAAACGTATAATAGTATTGACCTACATAAGGAGAATCATATAACTTCTTCAAATGATAATTTCAATTACTGTAGTACTTATAAAATTTCGATTAATCAATAATAATAAAAAAAAAAATAAAAAAAAAAATGCATGCCCACCTTCGGTAGTGAGGAAGCAAAAGGAAACTGCCTTTTCTGAATAGAAAGCAGTAAATGTTTAAAACTCTATAACTGTGCAAGGAACCGTCCAATTTCGATGATTTTTTTTTTTTTGTCAGCAATTCAGCAATATTTCAAATAAATATGGGTATTATCAATCAAAAGTTGTGTACTTTTTTAGTTATCGGCAAATAGAATATTGAATTCATCGTAACATTTTTCAGCTTGTTTTCAGGAAAGTATGTTATACACGTAAATTAAAAGGGTTTCAAGGGGAAGACTTTAGCCAAGTTTCGTTAAAATCGGTAAAGCCATTTTGGCGCTACAGTTTATAGTGACACATTTTTCTGCGGCTTTGAACAGAAAAACATTTTCATTTTTTTTTTTTTTTACATAAATAAAATTATCGTAAGACAGAAGGTGCTATGCCAGAAACCTTCTCAGGAGTGTACGGAACAACTTCCCAAATTTTCATGGCGATCGGTTGAATGGTTTAGTAATGCACTAAGGACAAACAGACAGACAGACATACATCCATTTATATATATATAGATTATTTAATTGCTATCAAACGAATTTTAGTTCTCTTCACAATATTATTGTACTATAGTGTATATGATACGATCTATGATCTATTCCAATAACATACACTAACAGCTATTCATACTATTTATATTTTATCAATAATAGATTTATATTACAAAACGCAACAACTTTTTATTATCCAAACTGGAGGTTACAGCCTAGTTCGCCAGAGCCTTTTTAATTAACATGCAGCTACTTTGCTACAGTACCACATGATGATTCCACAATAGAGATGGATGTACCATCTAAATGTTTTCCTAATAGAGATGGAAGGTGGTTATAGAATTCTGGTGCCGGCGAATGTAGTCCTGCTTTGTTTGTGTTATTTAGAGTTCTCTCAATGTCTACCTTGCTTCCTGTTGTACCTAGATTCATAAGTATAGCCTGACTAATGCTAAATGTTGATCCATTATTTTTGGACTACTTTAATTCATTCCCTTATCGCTAAATATGATATGTTGAAAAGGCCAACACACAATGCAGAAACTATGTTACTTAATTTTTTTTTTTTTTTGTCATAGTTTTGTCACAAATAACATATGACCTGTTTTCCATCACCTGTGAAGTCATAAATATTATTTGTTTACTTTTTCTTTTTTAAATTTTTAATATATTTACACAATCAAGATGAATGGGGGAGAAATGTTCAAGCAAGCATTTTTTGCTGCTTTTATTGTTTCGTTCCTGAGTTATATAATTGTTCACAGAAGTGAGTATTTTTATTTATTTATTTATTTATTTTTTAACTTCTTTACCTACTCTTTCTAGAACAGGTACAGAGAGTTATTCTCTAGTTATCAACCCATGATAGCAAGAGTGAGATAAGTCCTATTATATGGTTTTGATTTGCCTTTTTTTTATTGATTTTATTTTCTAAAAATTAAATTAAAACATTTGCATCAGTCATCCTTGCTAAAAAGGACTTATTTATGACCTATCTGAGTGTGATCTAATTGATATGATTATTATATTAAGTTTTAAAATACTTATTTTTTTACCATTATTAGATTTTTTTTTAGTCACATTTTAAGTTTTTGGAAGGTGATAGCTGCCAACTTCCACTCATTGAGGGTGTTCCTTGTGAGTGATGATTGAACAAGTAGCATTTGTGCTTATTTAATTTTTAATAATACATCTCTACTAATGAGTTATGATCTAAGGAAGATGTCATGTCTGGGTAGTGTAGCCTAATAAAACATTTGTAGCCACTAGAAACCTGTTACAGTCAATGGATAGTAATTTTTTTGTTAGTAAATTCAAGACATGAAATAGTTTTCCAACAAGTCTGTTTTTCCATTGGATTTTTCTGTTTCTTAAGAGTTGCAATATTTACTTCATACTTCTTTGGTTCACTATGAATACTTAATGTGTTAACAGGATCCAACTCCTATTTGAAGTTCCTTTTGAAATAAGTTAATGATGTTATACAATAAGATAGCTCAATCATTCTGCTAATTATTGAAGACATCTTATTCTTGACTTGTATTCGAATATACTAGATGTATTTGCCCTTTATAGAGAATCATTGTAATCGTCCTTTTTACAAATGTTATGATTTTACAGGACGATGATGTAGCAGCAGTAAAAGATGGCCTCCTCATCATTCACCGGCTTAGGCGATCACTCGATGATCCCCATGCCAGGGAAATCACCACCCTCAAAATGGAAATTCAACAAATCATGAAAGGTTTGTCATTATATAATAGTATGGTGCTTAACTACCAATAATTAGATTTATCTAGTTTAATATTACAGACACAAGAATATACATACCTTTTGTTAAACGATTCATGCCTATGGACCATATTATGGTGATACTTAAAAACTAAATCTACTTGTTCTTTTTTTACAGTTTGACCATGTAAATATAATTTAAAAATGAAAATTATTGCTATATATTTAGAACTATGTAGATAATATACTCATAATGTAGTATTATAATTTTTGAAAGGTGTTTTATTTATAGTGGTATCATATTTAATTCAGAGGATATGAAGAATTGGTCAAGCTGTAAAAATATGTTTGCATCTTGAATTGTTTTTTATGTTCTTTTTTTCTTAATTTTTCTGTACCTCCATTGTAAGTTATTTGCTTATAACTTTCCGTTTTTTATATTATTTTAATATTCTCATTTCAAATTACTATGGTTATTATTAGAGACCGGATTTTCGTGCAGTAAAAATCTGAAAAACTCAAAATGTTCAAAATCATGCCTTAAAAACCCACAATACATAAAATTTTGTAATTAACCTCTTAAAATGTGCAAAATCCTCAATATTCTTTAATTTATAACATTATAACATCAAAATCATATCAAATGTTTAAAAAAATTAAAATGTAACATTAAAACTGGAATTCCAGATTATAATCAACTAATGACAATAATAAATTGCAATTAACCTAAATCTTAAAGAAAGAGAAATTTAAACAATATGAAGGATTATGAATGAATTGTATGTACCTATATATTATATAGTCTAATCCTATATATTATATAGGGAACGGTATAGCAGAGTAATTATTGCGCTATACTAGTAAAGCAAAGATCATTGGATCGAATCCCGCCCCTATTTCCCAATATGGTTGGTCCCAGCAGGAAGTTAAACCATAATACTCCCTTAATTAGGGGAGGCCTACAAGTTGTAAGACTTGTATCAACAGGCTTTATTATTATTATTATTATTATATATTATAGACCAGACCGATTTTGGATATTTAACATTTATTACAAATAATAATAAAACTTTTTTTTTAATTGAGTTGCATTTTATAATATTTTTACTAAAATTTAAAGAATTTTTAAGAAACTTTAAGAATTCACTGTAATATTTGAGATTTTCTAGTTAAAATATTAGTGCTAAAACTGTTTATTTCTTTTGCTTGTCACAGAATTATTTACCTTCCTCATATTTTTATTTCTTGAATAATGAATTTAATTTGAACAATAATGTAAAATAAAAGAGTAAATATTAACACACACTTATACATTTGTATTTATAAATCATCTAATTTATCATAAAAGTGCAAAAATGCGGAATTAAATGCAAAAATAAAAAAATGAAAATTGTGCAATTGAAGCCAAAAAAGACGAAACGTGCTATTTCATGCGATATAAAATTTAAACATGTTATTCTACAGATTCTGAAACGGATAGGTTTTCGTGTCCGGATTTTTTATAAGCAAGCGAATAAAAAGTAGCAACAACATGGAAATCTGGTCTCTCATTATTATTATCCAAATCTTTTTATTTCCCTTTGTTTTTATTTTTTATCATTTTTTCTATGAACCGATTTTTATTCTATTTTATCTATTTTTTAGGAAACTATAGTTCATTCATGCAGAAGGAAATCTTTGAACAGCCAGAATCTGTTGTAAACACAATGAGGGGTCGTGTGAACTTTGAAACAAAGAATGTTATCCTTGGTGGTATTAAAGTAAATATTTTGAACTTTTGGTGTTTCATTATATTATAGTTCATATTGGTTTATTGTGTCCTAATCAGCAGAAAATGGCTTGATTTCGATGAAACATTTTTCTATTTTTATGTAGAGCCATCAGAAGGTTATAAGCTACATACATAAAAAAACAGTTTTACCAAGTTTGATCTAACTTCTTATTATTGTTATTTAGAGCCTAAGATTTAAACAATTAACTGAAATCAAGGTATAATTAAAATTTTATTTGATTTTCATATTATTATTTATTTATTTATTCTTGGTGCTGTGGTCCTACAAGAACCTGTGCCTCTCTTATAAATCTTCTATACTCCATCCTTTTGTGGATGTCCACCTCCTCTGGCCATCTCAGGCATGGGGAGGTGGTTGACCTCTGCCACATTTTCTACCAGATCATGTGGATTTCATATATCAGAAAAACATAAAACTAATATGCCCAATATCAAAGTCAGAAGTACTTAAGGCTGCCGCTGTCAGTCATTAGATGAACTTATGTAAAGTATATCTAGTAGACTAGCTATGTTTTGTTTAATAATTTTTAGACTGAGTATCTAGTAATTTTTATATTTTGTGCAAAACTCAGTGGATTAGAATATTCCTATGGCTGGTACATGCTCCAGGACCATCAAATCCGAGAATTTCCAATCCAAGGCATTCTCTTATAACCACTCTTTATTTATTGCATTTTAAAGCATAACATAGTTATGTTATAATTAGTACAATATTTATTGGCATTTAAAACAAAAAATCATTATTTTACCTAATGAAAAATCCAATAAAGATCATATCAATAATGAAGTCCCTGTTGCTATTACTTGAGTAATGTTAAAAAACATCCTCAGTGTTATTATCCCTGGCTACAAGCAGTAAAGTAACCAGCTAGTTACTAGTTAATTCTTAACTTAGTATTATAAAAATATATTTTATGATTTGAAATGATTAATTATATCGTATGTTGGCTGCGATAACACCATAACTCAAAATTCATATTTCAGGAGATTCATGTCACGATTGGCTTTGAAGATTCATTGCTTTTACTAGTTGGAAGTAACCATCGTTGAAATTGTGGAAAATTATGATTTTCAAGTTATAATGTTTTTATCTTAAATGGGTGATATGTAGATTTTATGGTCCTTCTCACGACTCGGGTTCAAGATCAGTGTAGATCCATTGTTTATGGCTGCTCAGGATTAGCCGGTGCAAGATGACTTTTTTTCTCTAAAATAGACTTAGTATAGACCTATCCTCCATGGTTGTTACTGATATCTTGGAAAACCATATCACAAGGTTCCTGATTAAGGTAGGGGCATAACTGCTATGCCTGGTGAGTATTAGATCCTTGACATACATAGGTTGACAGGACTCATATACCTGATGGGATGGTAAAGAATCTTGAGCTGCATTACTTTCTCCGATAGGCATTCAATTCCTCTCTCTCCACCAATTTAAAATCACTTATTAAATAATTTTTATAAATTGTAATTTATTTATTATTATTCATCCCTTTTAGTATCCAATTTGATATCATTATAATTCATAACGATACCAAAGAAAACGGTAATTTTTGAGTTGTCTTTTACCAATATTGTTGTAAAGATGTGGAGATATTTAAAAGATCCATACTAATCTATTTAAAGGATTATATTTGGAAACAGTTATAATCTACCCAAAATTTAATTTGCTTTATGGTTTTAACTCTATTTATTTCTGGAGGGCTACCCTTATGATGTAATTTCTAAAATTGTTTTCTACATACAATCAAAACAGGTTAGATATTTATTATCACTTGTTAGGATAATTATTTTACTTCTTAAAGACGTTGTGGTAATTTACTTTTGTATTTAGAAAAGCGTAAATAAAAGTAGTACCTTAGTAATATTGTAACAGAGAATTTAGTTTACCTCTTCTCAACTTAATATATGTAAAACCGCAAATCTACTTTTTATTTCTATATTCATAAATCAATTTTGAGATTGGACATAATATTTATATAACTACAATATTTTATTATGTGCTCAGTGACATAATTTTATTTATTAATATAGTGTGATTAATGATAAAGTAGTATTTTGGCCAGTTATTTTTGAGTTAATAAATTGTAGGAGTACATCCCAGAAATCAGGCGTTGTCGAAGATTGATGCTGATTGGTTGTGGAACATCTTACCACAGTGCCATAGCTACTAGGCAACTACTTGAGGAACTCACAGAATTACCTGTGATGGTCGAACTGGCATCTGATTTTCTCGACAGAAACACTCCTGTATTTAGGGATGACGTTTGCTTTTTCATATCTCAATCAGGTATTAATAGAATTTTTTTATTAGTTATTTTTTCATTAAACAATATTTAAAAGTTACACTAACTTTTATGTGAAGAAGTTGGTTTGGGGTGGGGTTGTGGTCAAATAAATAATTTGAACTAAAATAGTACTTTATTAATTATTAATAAAAAAGTATGTTAACTATATTAGTAAAAGTATGTTAATATTAATAAAATACTATTCTAGTTTATAGTATTTATTTGACCGCAGCCCTGACCAACACCTCATATAATCATGGTCAACCATCAATAACTTTTATATTTAAAAATTAACATACTTTCCTGTTACCATTACTTTAAATCCTTGCTACTCAGGCATCCGTGGAACCTGTTGGTACATGGTGGGTGGTATATTAACGTTGTTTTTTATTTTTCACGACAAGGTATGTTTATAATACTGCGCTCTGGAGATAAAGGACATCATATCCATTTGTTTATTAAAGAAGTTAGTAAGTAAGTTAGTAATTTGTTTATTAAAGAAGTTAGTAACCTATTGGTAGCTCAAAGTTATGGAATATTGGCTCCATGAATAAATACGAAAAATGTGATGTGATATTCATTAATCCAGGGTACAGAATTAAAATTTACATTTTCCTTACAAATTAAAAACGTTATATAATGTATTAGTAGCATATATAATTAGATATTTAAAAAGTTCATATCATTCTAAGTTTTTAAGAACATGGTTATTTATTAATTTTTTCAAACAGTAGTTTTGATTCCCTGATCTTGACTTAGCTGATCAATCTTTGCCATTACTTTGTTCTTTTATACATGTTAACATTAACACGTTAGTACTAAGAGGATAGGAGAGGGTTCCAACTGAATTTATGTAAAAAATATGTTGGTTGCATGGGGTTCAAGGAATATTGAGTGCTGAGTGAGTCTGTTGATGGTGAGACTAGTCCAAATCAGATAACCAAGATTCTATTTTATTTTCCTCATTAACATGGAATATTCTTTTGCATCGTTTTTGATTAATTATATTAAATTAATTTTATAAACATTATCTACTATTTTATCGTAGCTAATTTTTTCCTTTAAATATCTGTTTAATTAAAATATCTGTTGTGAATTATTATTATTTTTTCTTTTCCTTTTGGTGAATTACATAATCATTTCTTTTAATAGGTGAAACTGCAGATTCTTTAATGGCACTGAGATATTGTAAGCAGCGAGGAGCCCTCATCATCGGTGTAACTAACACAGTCGGTTCCTCAGTTTGCCGTGAATCTCACTGTGGTATCCATATTAATGCTGGACCTGAAATTGGTGTAGCCTCAACAAAAGCCTATACATCACAATTTATCTCTTTGGTCATGTTCGCTCTTGTCATGTCTGAAGATCGCATCTCTCTCCAAGAAAGGAGAGCTGAGGTATCTATCTTCCTTTTATTTATTTCTACTAAGCTTAGTTTTGCGATAGACCAATTTAATATTCTGAATCGTATGGATAATAGTTAACAATTTTAATTTAATATTTTTTTATAGAAGTAATTTTTCCATATTTGACTTAAATCCATCTTCCCATTTCATTATATAACTGCTTTGTTTACTCATGGTAAGTGCTCAAGCATGCAGTCTCATTACTAATGTTTCATTTTTATTCTATTGGAATCAACCTACCAGAACGATATTAAATGTAAAATATACCTTAAAAATAAAAAAAATAAAACTATCTTCATTATTCTAAGTCATTTTGTAAAACTTCCATTAGATTAGGTGTTGTCCATATTATACACTGACAGGCAAAAAATTCCACCCACTTGATTTTTTCATGTTTTTATCTAAAAATATTTCTGCTTTGGATTGGTCTATTGTTTTTAATGAATAAATGGGTAATCTTTTTGTTTATTTTCAATTAGGAATGTTAATATAGAGGACAAAAACCCTTAATCCTTAATTCAATGAAATAATTCTAGATTCCAATGTTTACTTTCTATGGAATCAAAATGTTTATTCAGTATCATTAGTTCAGTGTCGTTTCTTGCAGCACATTTCTTAGTCTCCGGCTTTTAATTTTTTCAATATTAAGTTTAAAAATGTCTCTTAGTGACGAGGATGTTGCGCGTGGTGTGGCACTTATTGATGATGGACGTTCCATTAGATATGCTGCTAATGCCATCGGAGTTCCATATGAAACTTTATGATACAGGCTTTTTCGGGAAACTGGTTCTTACAATAGAAGGCCCAGTTCTAGACGGCCTAAGGTAACAGAACCACGGGATGACCGTTTTTTTACTTTAAGAATTTTACGAAACCGGCATCTTACCGTTGTTCAAGCGATTCATCAGCTCGAAGAAGTTCGAGGTGTGCAAATTTCTGAACGTACCGCTGGGAGAAGATTAAATGAGTATGGATTAATGGCTTTTCATCCAGTAAGAGGACCAGAGTTGACCAGAACTCACTGAGTAACACGGCTGGCTTTTGCTCGAGAACATAGCCATTGGACTATGGACGAATGGAGTGCTGTACTTTTTACAGATGAGTCAAAATTCACTCTTCGATCTACAGACGGGCGTGAAAGGGTGTGGAGAAGAAGAAACGAAAGATATGCAGCCTGTAATTTTTCCCAGAGCCAACCTTTCTAATGTGGTTCCTTAATGGTGTGGGTTGGGATTTCAATGGAGCGCCGCAAAGAATTGGTTGTTGTTCGTGGAGAGTCTTTGACGGCCATTCGCTATGTAGATGTATTTTGTAACCTCATGTGTTGCCTATCCTCAACGAAATCGGCGATCGTTCTATTCTAATGCACGCCCACATGTCGTCCGCATAGTGCAGACGTTCCTTCAACAAAACAATATTGATGTTTTAGCCTGGCCAGCACGTTCTCCAGATTTGAACCCCATTGAGCATTTATGTTATAACCTCGGAAGACGAATAAGACACTTCCTGATACACTGCAGGACCTTGAAAGGGCTCTTCGAGAGGAATGGGCTATCCTCCAGCAAAGATATACTAAGAGGCATTTTTAAACTTAATATTAAAAAAATTAAAACCCGGAGACTAAGAAATGTGCTGCAAGAAACGGCACTGAACTAATGATACTGAATAAACATTTTGATTCCATAGAAAGTAAACATTGGAATCTAGAATCATTTCATTGAATTAAGGATTAAGGGTTATTGTCCTCTATATTAACATTCCTAATTGAAAACCAACAAAAAGATTACCTATTTATTCATTAAGAACAATAGACCAAACCAAAGCAGAAATATTTTTAGATGAAAACATGAAAAAATCAAGTGGGTGGAATTTTTTGCCTGTCAGTGTATAAGTATTGCAGATATGTCCAATATTATTAAAGCCACTTACCTGGATGCTTTTTATACAAAAACCTATGAACGTGAAATTTAATGAACAGAAATTGTTCCCATCTACTACTATTTTTACGAAAACAGGAGAATATTGAATCTTTCAGCCAGAAAATATAATTTATTAACTAATCGGGTAAAAAGAATATGAAGCTGGGTACTTAAGATAATGAAATCATATTTTATTACTTCCATAATGATAAAAAAAATATCACAAAATTTGTGGGGATTATTATTCCATAAAGCCAAGAAATAACAAAATTCAAATGAAATTGCAAGTAATAAAAAAATAATTTCTATTTCTATAATTTGTAATGAACAACTTGAATCCAAAATTTGCAACATTGGGAAAAAAGAAACACTTTCTCATGTATTATTTAACTTCTCAATATATAATAGTTTGAGTGTAAAGCTTTACTAAGATATGGGGAATCTTCATGGGATGGTAATATTTGAACCTCACGACTACAGAAAATATAAGATTATATTTTTTCATCTTTGATTTATCAAATTATAGGAAATTGGTGGGGTAATCTCGAATATTGTCCCGTGAATATTATAGCAAATATGTACATGTGATGTCAGTATGTAATCTGCTCTGGTCTTAGTTTTTTGTTTTCTTTATTTATTCAAGTAATCTATTAGTTTAATTTTTAAATATGGTTAATTATTAATATTTAAAAAATAAAATGTTTATATTGTCGGTTTATTATAAAAAGTCACTAAGTGCATTGTTGATGTAGGTTAACTTTGAAATATGTTTTTGTGGATTTCAACCTTATTTATCCATACAATAATACCGTAAGTGCATGGAAACGACACTCATCCTTTAATTACCATATATAGTTACACTCAGTGCACAATTTTCTGATTCCACAAAGATAAAATTCATCAAACTTCTTAATTCTTTGAGGTTATGAAATGTCACTTAATGACTTTTTGCAATAAACCGAACATATGTTCTGTTTACAATTTTATATTAATGTTAATAACTGACATTATTTTAATTGTTTGATTTTTGGTCAACTATGATTTGTAAATTATTTTTAAGATTGTTGTAATATTTTTAGTGAAGTATAAAAATAAATAAAAAAATGTTGGTAGGTGTAATACAGAGATGGACTCTAATTGTATGGGGTTCTTCCCTCAAAACAAATAAAGATTAAATAACTGAAATAAAACATAATTGATAATCAATACCTATTTACTGGGCAAATTTTCATAATAAGGCAATGTTCCCATACTCTGTTCTTTTAATTTCAATTATGTTTGTCAAACTGAATCTTCTGTTTTGTAGATTATCAAAGGTCTTGAAAACTTAGATGAACAGATTCGTGAAGTTTTGAATGTGGATGAAGATGTCAAAGCTCTTGCTAAGGATCTCTATCTGCAGAAGAGTTTGCTCCTGATGGGAAGAGGTTATAATTTCGCAACTTGTATGGAGGGTGCTTTGGTAAGAATATATTATTTTGTAATTAGGAAAAAATAAGTAGTATTTTGCTTACTATTCTATTAAGTTCTGTAGGAATTTTAATGTGAGTTAAATTGAAACTGTTCTAGGTTCTAGTTCAGTTATCTCTCAAAATATCTGGTTTTCACCTACATATTAATTTTTTTATTTAATGTTTATAGTTTCTCATACCTATTGTTATCTGTTATTTTGTTATCCCTGATGAGGCCTGAACTTTGTGCCGAAACATTGATAAAAATAAATATAGTTATTTATTTTTTTTGACTGATCACCCCAAGGATTCTTCTCTTTAATTATTCACTACAGTCAACCATCAATCCACTGTTATTAATTAATTTGATAATTTTTATATGTTTTATAGAAAGTTAAAGAATTGACATACATGCACAGTGAAGGTATCCTAGCCGGAGAACTGAAACATGGGCCTTTGGCAATGGTAGACAAAGCTATGCCTGTTATAATGATCGTTACAAGGGATCCCGTATACACGGTATGTTAATGATTCTAATTTTAAACTAATACATGTGCAAAATGCTAAAATTGTAAATTTTTAGTTTTTACTTAAAATGTTAAAATATTTCTCATTTTGTAGAATAGTTTAATCAGAATTTATCAATATTATGTTTGCTGTATATCCATAACTGTTAAAATAAATTGGACTACTCAAAATATTTTTGTTCATATTTCTTCATATTTTCTCTTATTAGTAATAATTATGAAATACATTTTAATTTACTGCTTTTTTGTTTTTGTTTAAAGAACTTCCATTGTTATCATTGCTGGTAATAACTGTTTGAAAAGTAATCAAAGTTTTTTTAATTACAGAAATGCATGAATGCACTTCAGCAAGTAACAGCAAGAGAGTGTCGCCCAATTGTTATTTGTGAGAAAGGTGATTTAGAAACACAAAGCTTTGCATTAAAGTTTATTGAAGTTCCTCATACCGTCGATTGTTTGCAGGTAATGGTCCCTTGATTTTTATTTTTATCAATTAGTTTCTCATGTTAGTTCAAAAACAAAACAAATAATTATTTTACAAAAATCTGATTCCAAATTTTCCCTTTTGTTACTTTTCAGAAAAGTATTTCTCCTCTAGATTTTATTATTATTTTCAATTTAGACTAAGGGTAATCTTTTTATTATTATTTATTCATTTTGAGATGTCGTCTTCTACTTTTTAAATCTATTAAGGTTTATTAGATTCAGTGAATCTCAGAAGGCTTTTTTGAATTGGTTAGATCACACTGCTTAGGGTCCAAAGACAGCAAACCTAACTTTGTAATCCTGTCACCAGCAGATGATGACTGCTGATCCTCAGTAGGACAGCGCCTTTTTTTTTTTATTGGATTACCCTCTACCCACCATTTCTGGCATGTGGGGTAGAGAGATGTTCTAGAGGTACAACCAAACCTATTCTAACCAGAGTGGGAAGGTCGAATTCTATTCGTGGATCTGCAACAAAATAAAAGTCAACTCAGGCCGGATTTGAACTGGCGTCACTAGGCATGAGAAAGCTACAACGGGCAATACTCACAGACATCACATCCTCCAGTAGGACAGAACATTCACAAAAGTGATTCTACCAACTTAATTTTGCTGAGCTTACAATAATTAGTATGTATCAGGGTGATTTTCTCTTGTCATACTCTGTCCAATGGAAGCAGTATTTTGCTTCTAGTTCCAGAGGATCTATCTAAAAACAGCCTGGAGTAGTTTTTTGTGTTGTTAATATTTTGATATTTGCTTTAATGCTTCTGCCACAGACCGGCTCTGTACTTAAGAGGTGGTTAGAGCCACTCGGAACTTTCCTGAACAACCTGTGGGTTTCTCCATCATCTAATATATTGCCTTGTCTATGTGTCCATTCAACAACTCCATGATCCTCACATATAACATCCATTAGAAAGATCTTCCAAAAAATTCGAATTATGCTATATATAACATATTTATTTGTGAATAAGAATAGTAAAATAGATTACAGAAAAAAAAATATTAATATTGAAAAAAAAATGTCTTGTTTCTATATTCTACTATGATATTACCTATTTCAGATGTTGGCAAAAAAACTTCCTTTAATGCTGGCAAATATTTTTCCTAACCCTAAATGGCTAACACAGATATTCCATTGTTAGTCTAGTAATGTGGTTGCTCTGGATAATGCTTTTGAAAAAATTATAAACTAAGACAAAGGAGCACACATACCGTAGCTATTGACTATAGGTGAATGCAAGGAAGAGTTCTGAAGATGGTAAAGAAATCCTGAAACGTCAACAAAAGGAAAATTTGATAAACATAACATTTGCTTGCATTAAAGGAAGTTTTTATTGCCAACATCTTAATTAATACACCAACACTTCCCAACAAAAGAAGACAACAAGAATTACCTATGTTATTTTTTTACATAATATTCTGCTGTCATGTTATGTATCATGTCAGGATGTTATTATGTTTGTTTCTTGGTAATGGTTTGTTTTCTGACAGAACTAAATCATTAATGAAATTTTATTTTTTAGCTGGTTTTGTTTAAATTTCTACTCTTCTATTGAAAATTTAAGTTTAAAGAAATGTAAAATAAATCATCTTAAATATCCTTATTTTATTTTTTATTTTTTTATTCTAGGGCATCTTGACCGTAATTCCAATGCAGTTGTTGTCATACCATATTGCAGTCCTCAGGGGCTGTAACGTCGACTGTCCGCGCAACTTAGCCAAGTCTGTCACTGTAGAATGAACATTGAAAAAACTGACAGAGAAACTCACTTCATATTCGCATTTAAAGCAACTAATGTTGATATTGCGGTTAATGCAATTTGTTAAATGCAAATTGTATAATAATCGAAGGCTAAGAACTTTTCTTTTGTTTTCTGGAAAATTGACAAAAAAGAAAAAGGATGTTATTTTATCATATTAGGCCTGCCCAAATGGAAGACTGTTATTTTCAGTATTTTTTGTTTAGTACCAGTTTAGTAATGAACATTGTCATTCCGAATTTTAAAAAAATATTTTTTAGGGACCAGACGGTTAATATTTTAAATAGATATTTAGTAAATATCGCAGCATCTTGTAAAGCCATTATACCATTAACTGAGAAAAGCCAATTTTAGAGCAATTAAATGAATTTCAGTAAATGCTTGTTATAATCTCTATTTTTTTATTTCCGTTATTTGTTAGTGGAATTGCGCACATTAGCCATTATTATGTTATAAAAAGAATGAAAAAATTAGTTGTAGCATCGAGTTACACTAATATGGATTTGTAATGTTATGAACTTTATCCAAAATACAGATGTTGCTTGTGTTATAGCTTGCATCGTGTATTCTTTATAATTGTATATTGTTATCGAGGAAATAATGATGGAAAATGTAAACAATTAGTGCCAAGTACTTAAAAAAGTATAATTTATTGTATATAGTGTATTAAAAAAATATGTGCAATACTTTTTTTTAATATAAATTTATATATATCCAAATGTCTTTCCTTTTTATATTTGTTAAAAATGTGATTTTTTTAATATATTTCTCAGTTTTTATTATTGTTATGGTATGTTGTCTATTTATAGAATACAGAGATGTTGCCTTAAATTTGGTTATGGTACTGCCATATTTTTGTATGATAGCAATAAACATTGGAATTTATTTACTTTTTGTAATTAATTTGTTTTATAATTTTATTTCCTTTTCCTTTAGATTCAGTTGTTCTAATGTTTTACATTCCTACTGCTGAAAGTTAAGGAAAGTATTATAATTGTGTCAATTTTTTTATTTTCAGTTTTCAACAGATCTTTATTTTTTTAGAGCTCCATCAGTAAAAAAACAACACATTTTCGGCTGTTGTTCTGTGACAATTATATGTTGACAAATGAATTTTTTTTTTTTTAGTATTACTTTTTCTTGTTTTTATAAGAACCCACCATCTCTCTAACTACTTAACCATTTTCAATGAAATATTAGGGGCCCATTTAGCAGTAAGTTCAGAAGAATGAGGAATATTAACAGTTTTAAGCAACAGGCATTCAAAGTATAAACAATTGAAAAATAGGAAGATACCGAAACAATCATAACCAACCTTCAGTTACTATTAATGATTTTAAAAGTTCAAATAATGTTTTATTTGTCATGTTTTGAAGATACTATGTTATTTTTAAATTATTTTACTATCAGATTTTTTCTATAAATAAAAAATCATTTTAATACATAATAAATTACCCAAAGTACATTAATATTATTGTACATAGGCCCACCCCATATTGCACCTTGGGTTACGACTTGTTCCTTTGTTATTGTTTTAAATAGGAATTATAATTGTGATTGAAAAGTAAATGTAAAACTTCATTTAAGGTTGGATTTAATAAGTCAGAATATATATAAAAAAAACATTAATTGACTCATTCATTGACCACGCTACAAAGAAGAGGGAGTGGTGATTCATCAAATCTTCCTAATAATATTGGTGGTAGAAAACAAACAATTTATTACTGCTTCCAAGGCCAAGTGTAATATAGTATCCAGAAATTAGAAGAATTTGTGTATTCACATTAATGCAGAGTTGATAGAGCAGCTTCAAGTACTTGGTTGTGATGATCAGTGTGAGCAGGAAATTCAGAGACAAAATAATTATAGAAGGATGCAGAGATAAAATCTTTCTATTGTTTTAAAACTAAGACTTGTGGATGGTTTCTTCAATGCAATACATGTTTTATTTCAAAGAAACTTTCTTCAGTTTCAATTTCAAAATTCTGTTGGATTTTCATTTGCCGACGCAGTAAAAAACTTTAATAAAAAAAAAATTAAAAAAATGTTATTTCTACCCTTTAAACTGTTGAATATTTTGGAACTTCTATTTTATTGATTAAAAAATAGTACGTCTATAAATCAAAAATTGATCAATCATTTATGAAACATCTTATCTTTATTTCCAGTGGTGTTGTTTCTTAAATGACTTTCAGTTTGCAGTCGACGAGAGAGATGTTCTCACCTATTTTGAGTAAAATGTGTGGGTTCCATAGGGAGTGACATGAATAACTCAGTGCTGACTACAAATTCTAATTTTTTTTGTTTCAATTATCTCATGGCTCATACTTTATGGCATACGGGAAAGGCTACAAATTTAATCTGAAATTGTTTAAGTAACATAGGTATAGATAGGTCATTATCGGGTCCAGGATTTAATTTTGGGAGGGCTTCAGCCCGATATGTTTTTTTTTTTTCATATATATAACGGTAATTAGTTTGGAAAAAAAGAAAATAAACTAACTACCTATATGAATAGTGTTTAAGTGATAGTTGAAGTCCTATTAAATGTAATTACACGAACAATAATACTTTAAGAGATAATGTTTTAATCGGTGATAGTTCACTAATCGATTCAGGTATTAAGGGTGCTGACCTACCTCATGCCACTTATCTATCTACCACTTGTCACAGGCAGAGCATCAGTTGTGAATTTAAAATTAAAGATTGAATAAATCTTATGACTTTATTTCCTTGTAACTAATTTACATATCTTTGATACTTCTGAAATGTTAGGGTTGATATTGTGATGAATCAAATCAGGATTTTGGCCCATAATCACCTAATATATTGTACATGTACATCAAAATAATAAGTAGTAGCTCACTTTAGTATTGCGTCACTCTGCTTAATCATAACTTTTTAAATGATTCGTGAGCCAAAGCAGCAGCTCCTTTCTGGGAAAAATCTTGGTCTTATTATCTCAAGGTTGTTCCTTTTACTCTTTCATTAAATGAGGAAAGAGAGCCATTCTTGGCAATGAGAGATCATTTTGATGTGATTTCAATCACTAATCAGGATATAATAAAGTACAATAACTTATTCATCAAAACAATTTTGTCGTTATGATGTCCAAGATTATTTACAATATGTGTTGCAGTGAATTATAGGAAAAAAAAATTAGTTGATTCTGTTTTGATACAGGAGTGGAATATAATGCTGAAATATTGTTATCATAAGTGTCTAATCACCTACTATGGTATGAAATAACTCAAGTATTCTTGTGAGTGTTTATTAGTTACTTTAAAAAATATTTTAATTCAATTATAAATATTGACTGTAGACATAAGTTTTAAAAACGGTTATTTGGCCCAAATGGACTAATGTATCATTGAAATTGGAAAGGAAATGGATTGGAATAATTAATTGGAAATTAATCCCATTTGTGTTTAAAATATGTATGTATTATTTTAATATATACATTAAATTAAGAATTCTATTCTTTTCAATGTATTATATACTGATGTACTTATATTGTTCATATAGAAAGCAGTTGGCACCACTGATGCAGTTAACGAGTTTAGTTCTATCTTGTGAATTTGCTACATTTATGTGCGTTATTAGTTAATTATTAAAGTGATAATTTATTAAATATCGGTGTGATTTACGGAATTGCCAAGTCTGCTTTATAACTAAGGTTTGTAACAAAGTTAATTATACTTACATTAATAAAAAGAAAATAATCTATCTTCTATTATAGTGTTTTTGAAGAAATTTATCTTTACAGATTTAGTTTGGTATATACTGTGTTAGAATATCTTTAGGCAATGCAAATTTCAGTATTTTAGAAAGGAATTTATGCATTTCAATTAATGTTAAGTTTTTTTTTATTGAGCGATCGAAATTTCTAATCATTTTGTTTATTGTTGTGAAGTTACCAGTTACGGCTACTATTGCGAACGAAAATGGGGAAAAAACATGATTATTACTAAAATTAAAACCTATTTTAAACTAAATAGGCTTTTTCAGTTGTATTTAAAAATGATCTACATTCGTTGGAACTGCTACATGGAGCCAAATCTTTGGATGGAGCGGTTACAAATTCCTTAACTGCTTCAGTCGGTAGCCAATATTTTTTTTAGCCAGTAATGAATTAACCGTTACTACTTCAATGAAACAGTTTTAATCATTTGATTAAATCTTTATATATTATTTCTCAAAGACGATTTTTAGTCAATTCTTCATCAAATCCAATGATTGAGCCTATAATATGGTAGATGAACCATAAGACCTAATATTGTTCTAACCTGTCTCAAACATTCATTATCATTTGTATTGTCATTTTGTACTAGGTTTCTATGTACATAAAAAATTCGAAGAAAATAAAATTGAAATAGATAAAGGAAATAATTAAAATTTTTGAATTCTTAGAAAACTGAATTCAAACTATCTTTAACTTGCTTTCTACTTGGATCGTAAGACAATTTGATCAGAAAATCGATGAAAAACGTGGCCTACAAAAATATTGGATAGTTTTTCTTATATAACCTCGTTATTTTGACAATTTGGGGGTGTAGGTCACGCCAAACGGCTCAATATTTTTGAAGGCCATATTTTTTCTCGATTTTGTGATAAAATTATTTTCCAATCCAGGTGTAAAGCAAATGAGTATTTACGAGGTTTTAATACCTAATTAAAATAGACAAAGTTTGCTCTCTCCAGATTGAAAACTACCCAATTCCAAGAGTTTTCGTAAATAAAATAGTTGTAGGTTATGATGTGATGAAACTATTTATGAAGTTTCAGGCGGATGTTAATAATTCGATAAAAAGGGGTCTGTAACACAGATCAATTTATTCCTTCATTTTTCCTTAAAATATATTTACCACCTTTATCCTATTATTCGATCCTTCAATTACTAAAGACGTCGATACAACTTTTTTTGGAGGGGAACTAAATCTAAAATTGGCTTACAATATTTTTTAATATTTCAAGTCGATCGATTTGTTCCTCAGAGATTACGAGATGTACTGTTAATAACTATTCTTACACGGGGATCAATATTGTTCAGGTCGATATTGCGATGCTAATACGGATAGGTAGGATGAACCTGGTTGGGTTCAATTATTTATGATTTTCTATTACATTAACATAATTCCTCATATATAACGTAACATAGGGATATTACTTCCCCAACATTCAAAGTGAAACCTCAGGATTATTCTACTGTTCAAATTCATGATCGATGGGAATGATTTATATTAAAGAAACTTACTCAACTGTTGATAATCATCCTATATATTATTTCTAAAAGGTGTTTTTTTGTCGGTACGCCGTAACTTCGTCAATACTTCATCAAATCCAATCATTGATCACTCATTTTGAAGATATTCTTCTCCTTCACATGCGAAAAATAGTCCCATCTCCCCGAAATTTCTGGAAAAAAGTTATGGAGGAAAAGAGAAAAGAAACTTTATTTGCAAATAATTCAAAAAGTATGCATTTTTTTCTCAATTGTATCTATGATAATTAGAAATATTACTAAATTACCTACAAAACAAAACATAATCGTAAAATTCGGACAATGATTAGTAAAGATACAGTCCATTAGTTTCATTATATTTAATAATATCTTCCTTTTTAAAGATATTGCATTTAGGAGTAGAATAGTCTACTACATTTGTTTCCTGACTCTTATATAAACTTCTTTATTTCTTTAAGACATTTGGTTGTTCTTACATTTTATTTTTTTTAATAATTTAGAATATCCTGTGATCGGGTCATTATTTTGTTTTTATTATATTTTCAGTCAGCGTTTAAAAATAGGTCTTAGCAAAGCAATTTGTATAAATATTTTGGTTTATTATGATTAATGGAATATTGTAATCGACCAAAGAAAAAATATTAATTCCTTCCTTACATAATACATAGGAACTACAGATTTCCATATTGTTTTACTGTTTCTTCACTAAACAAAATTTTCTGCGAATTTTTCGCACGGGCCAACTACTGATACTTATTAATGTACGGCGATATCTTGAATTAAACTCATTTTAAATGAATTTTATAGTTTTGACATGTAGAAGACATTTTTAATGTTTATTTAAACGTAACGTTTTTCTAATTATGTTACAAAAAACGAATTATGCACATTCTACTTCACCCTAATTGTCAAACGATTATACATTATTGAAGGAAGTAAGTCGACTGTTCTACATATCATGGGTGATACATATTCAGAGAGCACTCTTTTTTAAAAAAAATTATTTTTATTTTTGCCAACGATTCAACCCAAACATGTGGGTCATCTTCAGGACGTAGTTTGAGCACTGAGGGTGCTTAAGTACTGACACCCTCAGTGCTCAAACCACGCCCTGAAGATGACCCACATGTTTGGGTTGAAACGTTGGCAAAAATAAACAAATTTAAAAAGACTGCGTCCTGAATATTTATCACCCATGATTATATATTATATTGATCAATATGAAACATAAATTATTCGCACGGGCCAACTAGTAAGTAGAAAAAAAAACACGATTATTTATTATAGTGTTGTTCTCCTCCAAATAAAATCGTGAATCGTTATAAAAGTGGAGAGTGGCGAAGTGAGCAGAGGCAGCCAACTGCTATGACCCGGTTCTCAGTTCACCGCCTCGGGCCCTCTTCATATTTTACAAACATGGCTCCCTAGTTTCCCTATCACACGGCATCCTCAGGTATTAATGAATATTCCCCATTTACTCGTTAATTTTTCGATAAATATTAACTTGCTGTGCCACCAAGTCCAATGAATGGGACATGTGTAAATATTCCCCCCTTTATAGCTTCGTAGAGCGTTTGTTGTAAGGGGAATAGGCAACAAACCAATGATGTTTTTTTAATCTGATTTTTTACTCATGTTGACTTAGAAGATGTGAATTAAATGTGGAAAATTATTTTTCGAATGATTACCTCAAATTGTTGACGACGGTAGCCCTCCTGTTCCAATTTCATTATTTTTTTATTATAAATTACCAGTCCCCTGTATTTAATTGTACTACTCGTTGCTCAAATTGCGTAACTTTAATTTACGTATATTCTGTAGTACAGATTTTATTATTTTTTATCAACATAAAATAAACTGAATGAAACCACAGTTTGGACACATTTTTAATTTCTCTAAAAATCTGTATTATACATTGCGCCTAGTTCCCAATTTGTAACTATAATATATATATTGAATATTTAATAGTTGACCGTTGCATTATAAAGGAAGGAGATGGTCCGGGGTGGCAGTCATAAATAGGCTAAATAGTTGCAAAACTATTTTATTAAAAGCCAACGTTTCGACCCGACTTTGCAGGTCTTCTTCAGGGAGGTCTGTTCAGCTAGGAGTGTCACTTAGAACTGAGTTTTGCCACTATTGAGCCTATTTATGACCGCCACCCCGGACCATCTCCTTCCTTTATAATATATATCACTATAACTACAACTATAACTTATCCAGATTCATGTAAGCCCAGCAATAATTTAAGCCTTTTATTTCTGATATTTTCATTAAGCGTTATGCTGTGCTTACTTTGCTATTTCATAATAATTATAATTATATCACAATATAATTTAAATATAAATATAAATGTAAATATAATATATTGTGGTTTAGGGAAATGTTTAGATCGAAAAATAACTGCTTTCACCTAGGAAAAATCAAACCCATGTCAAGGTGAATAGATATCATTACCCGAACAAATTTTTAATCTAAAATCTTTATTTTTTATTATGAGAGTATTAGGTATCAGGAACTCAACACAATGAATTAAATGAAAAGCTTTATAATCAGTGCTAATTATAGGGCTGATAGGAGAGCTCCTATAACCTCCTACGCTCCTAATACTAAAATGAAGTAAAATATGACATACACTAAAAACTCTTTATATAATGGAGAGAAATTGCTTGATTTAGGTATCAAAATCAATGACATTACAGTAACCATGTAGACATAGTCACTAACCACTGTTCCAAGCTACTGATAGATGGAAGCAAACATTCATGTTTATTCAGCATGATCCCAATCAAATGGAGATGCCATAATCCTCTTAAGTGTCAATATTGTAGATATACCATATTGGCAATACTGTTGGGATCTTACGTACCTCACTAAAAATTAATTCTCTCAGCCAACATTGACCAACGTACCAGTCGAGTAGTATGACCAACAATT